TTGAAATTATAAAAAAACCCAAGCACTATTTAAACATATAAACACACCCAAAACCCATCATTACACACACTCAAAACCCATTTATAAATACACCCAAAAAGTTGACTTTGGGGTTAATTTTGGGTGTGTTTCTATGTTTAAATAGTGCTTGGGTTTTTTTTATAAATACATGTCTAGGATTGGGTTTATTTATAAATTTGTATTTTTTTTTTTCAGCCTATATTATCATTTAGTATTGGATTAGAAAATTTTATACGTTTGTTTGTTCTTATTTTGACCTTGGGTTGTTTGAGTATTCATAGTTTAATTTTATTTATATTTTCATAGCAATGGATGTTGATATGCACTCACGAATTTACAGTTTTAATTGGGGTTCTTCAATTTGATGAATTATTGGTATCCGAGAAATCATACTTTTGAATGCACCTTGTATTAAGGGCGTAAATAGTCCAAGGTTCCTTCCCAATAATGGAAAACAAAAATTTTAATTTAGAACCCCATTGAATCAAACCCACGAACTTAGTTCTTGGAAATATCTTTTTTTTTTTTTTGGATGAAAAAAAGGGGGCAAAAACTCCAAAAACAACCTACACCAGCAAAATAGTAGAAACTAGCCTCGATCTAGTAATTCCTAGCAAATCATCGATCAAACTAGGCCCAACCCAAGCTGGAGCATCAACAAAGATATAAAGACCCAAGTCTAAGTTATAGCTCCAGGTCGCCAAACAATTAGCAATACTGTTTCTCTCTATGTAAACATGACAAACACTGCAACAGTTGATCTTATGCATCAACTCCCAGCAACTAGCAACTAAGGCTGCAAAAGGATGAACATCAGTAAGGCCCTGCTTCTGGATCAATTGGACAACAAGTGCTGAATCCATTTCAACAACAAGATTATTAATCTCTTTGTCCACAGCAAGCTTCAACCCAAAAAATAATCCCCATATTTCTGCCTCAAGAATTTGCCCCCTCCCCAAGTTCACAGCAAAACCACTGATCCAATCTCCAGAGGAATTTCTAATAACACCTCCAACACCAACATGTCCAGAGCCATTCCTCTTAGACCCATCAACATTTAACTTGAACTGGCCAGAAATAAGAGGTTCCCACTTAAGATCAACCTGGACTTTATGATTATGCTTACTTAAGACATGAGAAGCCTTAAACCACTCATGGACAGCACGAACAATAAGCTGTTTAGGATCAAAAGGCACATCTTCATCCCCTTGAAAAACTTGGTGATTTCTCCATTTCCACACATACCAACAAGTAAAGATAAACACCGGACTCCAGGGGATATTACTACACCAAACTGCCTGGGAGAGAAGATTAGTTTGAAACCAAGGCAAAAAATCCATTTGAAAGAAATGGCCATGATGGCTAGGCATTAAAACAGTATTCCATATACCTCTAGCCTTGTAGCAATCACGAAGAATATGTAATGTAGTTTCAATAGGCCACTCACAAACACCACAAGAAGCATTAAAAATCAGCTGTCTTCTAACTCTTTGCTCATTGGACAGAATTTTGCCTTGCGCAGTAAGCCAAGCAAAGATCTGCAATTTAAGAGGTATCTTTAGTTTCCACAAAGAACTAAAACTATAATCAGGCCATGAGGGACCTTTAAAGAACAGATTGTAAGCTGTTTTTACAGAAAAAACTCCATTGGCAGTTCCTTTCCAAATATGGCAATCCTGCAAATTACTAGCAAAACCCACAGGATAATTAACAACATGTTGAACAAGATCTTCCGTTAGAGCTCTTCGTAATTTATCCAAATCCCACCACTCATTTAAAAAAAAAATTGGAAACAGAGCAATCTATATCCTCAATATGCAAGACCCCATCATGCTTCAACAAAGGCTTATCAATAAGCCAACTGTCTTTCCAAAATTTAGTAGTATCTCCCTTACCAACCCTCCAACCTATTCCCTGCCTTAGCAACTCCACCCCATACATAACACCCTTCCAAGTGGTAGAACAATCCTGTCGAAACATCAAAGAAGGATCTAAGACAGATTTCCCTTTAAGATATTTAGACTCATAGATCTTAGCCCATAAGCCCTTATCATTTTTATGTAATCTTCACCCAACTTTAGCCAAAAGGGCCTAATTCATGGCAGTAGTTTTTTTAAAACCTAAACCCCCCTTGTTCTTATGACGACAAGCTAAATCCCATTGACAGAGGTGGATCCTATGCTTTTTCTCACTGCCACCCCAAAAGAAATTGCGATTTAATTTGTCCAGCTCTTTCCCAACACTAACAGGAAACTTGGAACAGCAGAAGTGACAGCTTGTATAAGAGTTGCTCTACCAGCCAAAGAAAAAAACTTTAACTTCCAAGAAGCAAGTCACTTATGCACTTTATCAATTAAACTGCCATAGGTGAATTTAGTAATTCTAGAATGCAACATAGGCATGCCCAGATACTTACCAAGGTCCTCAGTAAGAGGAGAGCCACAAATCAAACTTACCTCCTTAGCTGTCTCCTTCCTTGTATTTGGTGAGCAGAAAACAACATATTTATCATAGTTTACTGTTTGCCCAGAAGCACTGCAAAACCTCTCCAGACAACTCTTTAGCACCCTAGCTTGAGTAGAATTAGCTTTAGCAAAGAGAACCAGGTCATCTGCAAAGAATAAGTGAGACACAGCTGGGCTAGATTGTGAAGACTTAACTGGTTTCCACACTTATTTTTTAACAAAATCCCAAATAAGATGAGATAGCTTCTCAATACACATCACAAAAAGATAAGGAGATAAAGGGTCTCCTTATGCCATTCTTAGGAAGAAACTGATCAGTAAGCTCACCATT